CTTCTCCACACAAAGACTGACGGACCTCCTTGCTGCGTGGCGTAGGGATCACATCCAGATGAAGCGGCATTAATAACCCGACAGCTCCCTTACCTGGAGGTGATCCCTGTGCTGTGATCCCTGTGCTGTGATCCCTGTGCTGTGATCCCTGTGCTATGGCGTGGCCCACATCCATGTTACAGAGGTAATTTCAGTGGCTGGATTATCTGTATGCGATCCCTACATTACGGTGAAGCAGTCCTCCGTCTTATTGATGGAAGTCTCCTCTACATGTGAACACCACATAAGGTCTACTTCATTGTTGCCATGTTGGGATCCCTACCATAGGGATCAGCTGACGTCCATGTTGAAGATGCTTCATCTGGATGTGAGCCGTGTACTGAGGCCCAGCTGTCTTTCATGTGATCCCTACCCTCCAGCAAAGCCGACATCCTTCTCTTTGATGGCTTCCTCATGCGAGTGACGTTTCCTCCACAACACGTCCCGCCCCATGCGTGTGAGGTCACTTCCTGTCCTGAACCTTGGCACATGTTGGGTTTAGATGTTCGGAGGACCTCCCATGGGGAACTCCTCTGACCTCTCGGCACTGAGATAGCGGGACTTAGGATGGGGTTGTCCTGACATTGGTGTGTCACCGCGGTGGAATGCTCCAGGACGGTCACGGTCGCTCTTTTCTCTCTCTCTGCAGCGCCCTTCGCTACCTCCATGACATCGCAGAGGAATGGTTGGCGCCGGGGAGGACGTCTCCCCCCGTACCCGAGAAGCCCGTCCGGGAGCAGACGCCGAGGGAGCCGCCACCGGGGAAGAAGAGGGGCAGGAAGAGGAAGTCCCGGGACCCCGATGATGGCGATGTGGACTTTGTGGTGTCGGAAGAGCTGCTGCGGGAGGAGGAGAAAGAGGAGGCTGAGAGTGATTGTCCGAGCGATGAGAGTGAAGGGGACGGCCCATCCTACAACATGAACGTCTTCGCCTTCGGAGAGGTGAGAGGCCTGATTCCGTGCTGCGCCCCATCGTGCCCCATCGTACCCCATCGTACCCCATCATGCCCCACCGTGCCCCATCGTACCCCACCGTGCCCCATCGTACCCCATCGTGCC